CACCAGAAATAAATGTTCAAGAATTTTTGGTAAATACAATTGAATATAAGCAACCGTTAAATTCGTATATGATTTATAGAAAAGTCTATGCCAGAACATTGAAATCGAAAGGAATAAAATTATCTTTATCTGATGTCTCCAAACTTTCAAGCAAGTCGTGGGAAAATGAGTCTCTGGAGGTTAAACAATGGTACAAAGAGTTTTCAGAAAAAGTAAGAGAACGATACAGAAGAACGCATTGGAGATATAGAAATGTCAATCCAGGACCTAGGAGAAGTGATGAAGACCGCAGGACATTGACTTTTGTTTACGAAAATCCTGGAGAGGACATAAACGCTACTCCTAATAATATCATGAGTTCAACCAGTATGTGTCCTTTAGTATTATCACATGATATATTCAATCTGTAAATGACTATATTTCCCTATACTATTCAAGATACTTCCAACAAATTGTTGGATTTTAAGGCTTAAGTCTGTAATTTATTATACTTTAATTTTAATTTCAATATCTTTTTTTAAAAACAATATCCATTTTTATAACTATAGGTTCTTTTATAAATTTAAGTTAAACAATTATATTTGTGATTTCATTTTCTTAGAGCAAAGTATTATATTATATAATATTATCATATATATATCCTAAGTTCATATTTTCTTAAAATTATATGTATATTATCGTATATTTTTCGAGTCTATTTTCTTAACGCGTTTTTATCGTTTTTATCTTTTTTTTTATCGTTATCGCTATCGCGCTGTCGATGTACATCTAAATTTAGAAATGATCGATTCTTTTTGCCTAAAATGTAATATTTATATATTATCGCTATCGTTATTACCATTTTATTATTTTTTTCAAATCATATTTTAAATCGATATATTGGAAATATTTTAAATAGGAAATTTATTGGTTTATATATAGTGTTTATAGACGGGCACTAATTTATTTACAAATTCGTGTGTTATATAAATTAGTTTAAGGTTAGGGCAAGGACAGCTTTAGGGGTAGAAATAAAATTTTGCAAATAATATTTTTGTTAGAATTCCAAAAGTCGTTTTATAATCAGGATTTTGAGATATTAATATACCCGTATACATACACATAGTGTACGAATAGAAATTGCTTTTTAAATATTTCCTGTTTCTGATGGTCTTTTATTCGTAAATAAAGCATATTGATTATATTCAATTATATTATCACTATGTAGTGGTACACGTAGTTTCATAGTATTCTCTAGTTTCTTCTAAATTATCTTGATTAGAATTAATTATATTATTACTAGTATTAGTATCATCAGTTTCTCCTAAATTATCTTGATTAGAATTAATTGCACTATTACTAGTATTGGTGTCTTGGTGTTCTAAATTATCTTGATCTGAATTAATTACATTATTACTAGTATTAGTGTCTTGATCTTCATTAGTTTCTTTCAAATTATCTTGAACATTATCTCTGGTA